GGGTAGGTTGAACAGTTGGAGGTCGGGTAGGTTGAACAGTTGGAGGTCGGGTAGGTTGAACAGTTGGAGGTCGGGTAGGTTGAACAGTTGGAGGTCGGGTAGGTTGAACAGTTGGAGGTCGGGTAGGTTGAACAGTTGGAGGTCGGGTAGGTTTAACAGCTGGAGGTCGGGTAGGTTTAACTGGCGGAGTTCGGGTATAAGGCTTAAATGGCGTAGGTGGCACGTATTTTGCTGTTTAAGTAAAAGAAGTCAGATTGGAGAAAGGTTTTACGGAAATAAAAGTAGGACCCATATTCTCACAAAGTAACAAAGGAGGCCTATATTCTCAAAATGTTATAAAGAAGCGATATATTCTCACAATGTAACAAAGTAGTCACCTATTCTCACAATGTAAATCAGTAGGCCCTATATTCCCACAATATAACAAAGTAAGCCCTGTATTCCCACAATATAACAAATAGATAAATAGTAAAATAGTCGAATATTTGAATAGTTCAATAGTTTAGTTAAAAAGCTAAATAGTTTAATAGTTAAATAATTGAATAGTTTAGTTAAATATCTTAGTAAAATAGTTGAATAGTTAAATAGTTTAGTTTAATAGTTAATTGTTTAAGTTCGATATGTCAACTTTATAAAAGAGAATAGAAAGACAATTTAGGGATTATTTTAACTATATTTAACTATATCATTTGATATTAAGTAAGAACACCCATATATCTTCTACTGATGATTTGTTTGTTGTAAAACTTGTTGAAGCCTAGTTTTGGTAAGAAATGATTCTCAGGCCAAACTTAATTCAATGAAATGATACTCTAGCATGGCTTAATTCAATGAAAGGATACTATAGCATGGCTTAATTCAATGAAATGATACTCTAGCATGGCTTAATTCAATGAAATGATACTCTAGCATGGCTTAATTCAATAAATGATACTCTAGCATGGCTTAATTCAATAAATGATACTCTAGCATGGCTTAATTCAATGAAATGATACTCTAGCATGGCTTAATTCAATAAATGATACTCTAGCATGGCTTAATTCAATAAATGATACTTTAGCATGGCTTAATTCAATGAAATGATACTTTAGCATGGCTTAATTCAATGAAATGATACTCTAGCATGGCTCAATTCAATGAAATGATACTCTAGCATGGGTTCATTCAAGGAAATGATTTTCTAGGACGCCTACTTCAATGAAATGCATCATAAAAACACTGACCGTGGCAAAAGGGTTTCGGTCCGCTCCACTTATTGTAATGCTGGCATTTAATGGTTTTACATCCCCTGAGCTCGTACCCAGGGTCACAGTGGTAAGTGCAATGCTTATGATTCTTGTGTATCCAAACAGAGAATTTTCCATGAAGGATGGCGCAGTGTGACAAAGAACATCTGTGAGCTGTAGCAAATCAAAACAGTTATCAGAACACAATGGCGTTGACTTCAGTTCGAAGGAAAGAACAGATTTGTTGGCTTTGACATACAAGGGGTCAAACTAATGAGCCGTAACCCTAACCTGACGTACACTTGAAAGGCAGACGACTGCTCGATTTAACGGTTTACCTTTCTTGTGTTTCCTCGACATCGTCCGCCTTTTTCTTCTGCCACCCTCTGGTGCCTCTGCTATCTCTGCCGTCTCTGCTGTCTCTGCTGTCTCTGCTGTCTCTGCTGTCTCTTCTGTTTCTGATGACTCTTCCGTCTCTGCTGTCTCTGGTGCCTCTGCTGCCTCTGGTGCCTCTGCTGTCTCTGCCTTCTCTGCTGTCTCTGCTGTCTCCGATGACTCTGCTGTCTCTGCTGTCTCTGGTTCTTATATTGAAAAATGGAAGGACAAAAAAAAGAAGAGTAAAATTGATGTGTATTATTCCTTACTCTACCACCCAAATGCCTGTTTCGTAATCATTTCATCACCATGTATACACACTCCTCATTCGCGCATTAAGTGTTTTTAAGCAGATCTTGTCGCGTCGCTGTGACGTCGGGCTGGGGTTAAGAACTTTAAACAATTGTATTTTTAAAAAAAAATGCCTTCATACACGACGGTTCTCAATACACGACGGTTCTCAATACACGACGGTTCTCAATATGACAAGGATAACGATACGATGACCATTCAAAAATACTCTTACAAAAAAAAAAAAAAAAAAAAAAAAAAATTTTAAAAAACAAAAAAAAAAAAAAAAAAAAAAAAAAAAAAAAGGATACAACTTTCTTCATAATAGTTTCTTTTTTCCTTTTTGACTCTGGTAAAACATTGAGATAAAAGGCAATTATCATAAGTATGNAAAAAAAATTTTTGAAAAATAATATATACAAATAAAAAGGGCGATCAAAAATTGATGTGACGCTATTTTGACCAAAAACGTCAGAAATTTTTCACATAACTTAGACTCAATCTTAATAGTTCGTTATTAAATCATGACCCCCCCCCCCCCCCCCAACACCCCACACCCAAATGCCTGTGTTCATTAAGGATGACCCATAAAACATTGGGTTAAAAAGCGCTGGTCGTGACCAATATTTTTTTGGCCATCAAGTGACTCCAGTTAGAAAATATTCAAGGACGATCTCAGCACTGACGTTCTAATCTTTGGACTTTAAAGTTCTGTCTTCACCGGCTACCCACATTGTTTAACTTGAATTGTACACAACTTTTTTTTTATCACATATTTTAGACTTCCCCAACTGAAATCTTCAGACCTTCTTTGTCTTATATTTTTTTTTTAATAGACAATAATATCAAGGAAACACCTAACTTTTTGGAGAAAATTAAATTCTTAATGTCTTTAATTTCAAAAATGCATTATGACAAGAGTAATTATATAGGTATGTTTTTGAATAATTAGGTTCATGAACGATCATTATCATGAACATCAATAATTGGCTCACCAAGTCGTTTCCACTGCCCTGCCTCACAGATCAACGCTACACCAGATTCAGCGTCACTCTCGCCTGACCTAAGCAAACAGACGGTATATTCTGGCAAGAACGTGGTTGCGTCTTGGGTTGGATCTATGGTCGCGTCAGGTGAACCATCGGAGTTGAATAAATAGCACTCAGAGATGTTGAGTGATAGATCAAAGGTGCAAGGTGTCTGAAAGTTTTGGCGAAATTGTCGCATTTATAATTCTTTTAGAACGCTATGTTTGTAAAATACATTGTAAAATAAAAACTAAAGTTTACAAATAAAAATATTTCATTCGATTCCAGGTAATGAACAGTTTAGATGCAGCCTGTTTCCGGAAACTAGCGCACATGTTGACCCCAATGCCCAGCACTGGACGTTGCGGGAAAAGGGGTAGGGGAAGGGGCTGTGACAGTCTTTCATTGCGACGATGTTATTTGGCTTAGACCAGCCGATGGACCTGGTTGCTGATGTACTAGCCGGGTCTTTAAGGGCGCCAGCTCAAGCCTCCCACTAGATTATGTGTGTTAGTTAGTTACCTACAAATTCCATTATGTCACTGATTTACTTCAATTTATTTAAATGAATTGATAAAGAAGAATAGTCGTATGGATTAGCAAAAAAAAATATTTGCAGCGTATTTTAATTTGAGTCATATTGTCGCCGGTGTTAAATTGATCTGAATCTAACTTTTCAATAAACAAGATGATAGCGGTAACTTTATTTTGCGACAATAAAAAAATTCAACTTTTAACAGTAAAATTATCACAGATGCTAGGCACAGGCATGAGGAACAAACCCTTGAATACTTTTTTTTATTTAGATCAATTAGTTTAGCGCCATATTTACCCCCGGCTGTTGAACATCTTCTTGCAGTACAAGTCCCCCATCAACACGTGACACCACTAGCGCGCACAGCAGTAACACGACTAGGTCACTCAGAGCACGTACAGAGCTGGACCAGATCATTTTCAGATATGGAGTCCTACCTAAAAATTTAATAACAACAAGCGAAAGGTGTAAAGCAATTTTTTTTCTAAAATTTTTTTGAAACAGACACAAATTAATTTTCAGGACAACCCGGCGTCGGCATATCCCCCAAAAAAGCGTCGAGATAACCGATGATCAAGATAACCGAAAACCAATATGGCGGAAATATAGAAACATGTGCTTGAAATTTCTCTAAGTACATGATGCCAGTACTTCAGTAAAAAAAATGTATAGTTTAAAAAAAAAATCTTACAGTTATATAGAGCAAATTTCAAATTTAAAAAAAAAATGAAACCAGAATCAACTTTTTAACTTGAGTCCTTTTAACGAGTGAGTTCGTTTGATATCTTCTATTATGGCCGAAGGCTCTCCATTTGTGACGTCATTCTGCTGATCGTGTCCTGCGCAGTGACTCTATAGTTTACATAAGGCAACACACCCCCCCCCCTTATGACTAAAATACTATTTTGGGACTTCTTATTTTGAACTTTCAACTTTGGCACATGCTTATTCAATCAAAGCTTTAACTAACCAATGGTTTAACAGCTTTTGCACACGGGATACTCTAATGAAGGAAACTCTGACGTAGTACCGCGGCACAGCCATTATGCAAGTGACCGTGAATGGCTGCCCATGACAACGCTTTGCACACGACAAATTATGTTAATTTATATTTTGGACTCTACCGGGTTTTTAAAACTCGAATTAAAACCTATTTATTTAAATTACTTCTATGTTCATTCTAAAACACAAGCCCTGCATTTTGAGAAATAAATAATTATTTAATCATGAAAAACGTGTTAATTTGTTGAATGCTATTTCTTCTTACGGAGTCCAAAAGCCTGCGATTGGTCATGGGGATCGAGATAACCAATATTATGTGGGAAATTTGGCCGCCCCTTGTGCTCGAGATATCAGGGTTCACCAACAAAAAAGAATCGAAACAAACGAGGAGAAAATGCTTAGACAAAGAGACTTTGCGGTTCCACTTCAAAAAGTCGACATAAGGGGGTTGGCAAGTTAACCGAGGTCGAGATAAGCGGGTTCGACAGTAAAAAAAATTGACGTGGATGTTATCTCTTTACACACGGACACAAAATAATAATTTTAAAAATATGTTAATTAATGAAAACATAATTCCTAGTAAAGATTATTTGACATAATTATAACACTCTATTAAGCAAACGGATTCTATACTTTACTATGCAAACAGACGCTATACTTTACTATACAAACAGATTCTATACTTCACTATGGAGGCAGATTCTATACCTTACTATGCAAACAGATTATATAACTTACTATGCAACCAGATTCTATACTTTACCATGGAAACAGATTTTATACTTTCCTATGCATACAGATTCTATGCCTTACTATGCAAACATATTCTACACTTCACTATGCAAAGAAAGTCTATGCTTGACTATACAACCGTTTTCTATATTTGACTATACAAACAGATTCTAAACTTGTCTATACAAACAGATTCTATACCTTACTATGCAAACAGATTATATACTTTACTATGCAAACAGATTCAATGCTTTATTATGCAAACAGATTCTATACCTTACCATGCAAACAGATTCAATACGTTATTAAGCAAACAGATTCTATACCTTACTATGCAAACATATTCTTTACTTTACTAATGCAAACAGATTCTATACTTTACCATGCAAACAAATTCTATATTTTACTATGGAAACATATTCTATACTTTACTATGCAAAGAGATTCTATGCTTGACTATACAACCATATTCTATACTTTACTATACACACAGATTCTAAACTTGTCTATGCAAACAGATTCTATACCTTACTATGCAAGCAGATTCTATACCTTGAAGTCCTGAAATGTCTTGTTATATATATAATCATGAAAACAGGATGCTGTCCACACAGAGATTGCAAAGAGCATTGTTCTATTCTGAAGGGGCCAACACAAAGGGGGGATAAAAAATGTATGTGGCATGAGCCACTTGACTGAGTGACGTAACTTTCGAGACTGCACGTAGCGGTGCATTGTATAATTAGGCCCACATAATTTATTCCCCACCCCCTTCCAGCCTCTTGTTCATCCGGTGTTCGTGTCACTGTGCATTTTTGGGCTTTCAAAACATACGACCATGATCAAAATCAAAACATGCGACCATGATCAAAATCAAAACATGCGACCATGATCAAAATCAAAACATGCGACCATGATCAAAATCAAAACATGCGACCATGATCAAAATCAAAACATGCGACCATGATCAAAATCAAAACATGCGACCATGATCAAAATCAAAACATGCGACCATGATCAAAATCAAAACATGCGACCATGATCAAAATCAAAACATACGACAATGATCAAAATCAAAACATGCGACCATGATCAAAATCAAAACATATGACCATGATCAAAATCAAAACATACGACAATGATCAAAATCAAAACATGCGACCATGATCAAAATCAAAACATGCGACCATGATCAAAATCAAAACATACGACCATGATCAAAATCAAAACATATGACCATGATCAAAATCAAAACATACGACAATGATCAAAATCAAAACATGCGACCATGATCAAAATCAAAACATGCGACCATGATCAAAATCAAAACATGCGACCATGATCAAAATCAAAACATACGACAATGATCAAAATCAAAACATGCGACCATGATCAAAATCAAAACATGCGACCATGATCAAAATCAAAACATGCGACCATGATCAAAATCAAAACATATGACCATGATCAAAATCAAAACATACGACAATGATCAAAATCAAAACATGCGACCATGATCAAAATCAAAACATGCGACCATGATCAAAATCAAAACATGCGACCATGATCAAAATCAAAACATA